GAGGACCATGCAAAGAACAATCTTCGATGAAAATGGAATCAAAGGCTTTGGAATTTTAAGAAGTTAAAGACATGTTTTCATTTCCACATTTCAGTTTGAGTGTGAGTGTATGAATGAAAGAAACACAGATCGCTAAGAGCCACCCATACATTTAATTACAGAGTTATCTGAACAAACATGGATGACTTCAGTGAAGTAACAGCAGTGAAAATGTCAATCAGAGCTTTTCGAATGCAGATTGGCTGCAGTTCGCCTAGCGGGAACATAACGCAGGACCAGTTTCCAGATGGGGTTTTTACTTCTTACAGTCTCAAAATCGCTTTGTGTGTGTATGTGTGGGCAGCTTAACCCTGTTAAAGTACCCAAGAGCTATTAAAACCATAATGTTCTTTTCTTTTCCAATGTTTTGTTTGCTTGGTGTGTTATTTGAGTGTAAGTTTGATTCCATGTCAAATCACTCTTTCCACTGTCACAGGGTTTGCTGTATTAAAGATACAAAGATGGTGAAACGATATTTAAAGCTACACTGTGTAACTCTTTTAGTTTATTCTCAGCTAAAAACACTTAGTTCTTTCAAAAATATATGTGCTCATTAATGTACATTTACTTCGTTCAAGTAATAAATTATTCTTGTGAGTGTAAGGGGTAATGTCGGTCTCCATGTTGCCCCCCATCTTGAAAGTAAATTAGCCAAAGAGGGACATACCCGTTAATTCAAGCTTCGCCTTTCGCGTTTACATACGAGTTAACACTCATGGACAAGGTCGAACTAGAAGCCATGTTAATCTTGGACTACATTGGCCACCGTAGAAATTAAAACGAAATTGGAATTGAGGGAAACAGAAACTAATATTAACTGGATGGTCATACCTTTTAATCACACAGTGTAGCTTTTAATAAACCCAAAGTGCAAAATTACACAATCCACATAACGTTATCACAAGATAAAGGACTGAGGTATGACCGGTACACATTACTACCAGACGAAAGATGACCGATCAGAAATTTAGCATGATCATCTCACAGCGTGTTTAACGACCTACGTCGACTAGCCAATAAAAATGCGTCATGAAATGTCGTATTGATTGATGCGACTTGGCGCTAAAACTTGAAAACGTGAAAACCTCGAGCTTTATTTACAAAATTGGCCTCTTTTCCCTAGCAATATCATAGGCGGAGTTTGACATTCGAGTCAGGGGGGGGCAAAAAAAAAAAAAAAAACATGCTAAATAAACACATATTTATTTTTATCCCAAGAAAAAACAGTAAAACAATACACTGATATTTTATTGCCTTTATGTCATTGTAAACAGCTAGAACTTCGCATTAACAGCCACTTCGCGTCGCATCTTCGTTATAGGATCATAAAATGTGGACCACTTTTGCACTGTTAAAATATTATCTTCAACCTTAAAGTTTTCTTTCCTTTTTTCAAAACACATTCTGGCAATGATAATGATTAAAAAACTAGTTAAATTTCGCATTTATACTTCATGAATCATTGAAAAAAATTTAAGACACGGGATTAGGCTACCTATTGGTTTTGATGAGGGGAAAAAAAAAACTTTACGAGTGCGGATTAGAACCTCGAACCTCCCGAGTCCTGGATCTGGACCATCACTGTATACACAAAAAAGGGAGTATATACTTTATATACTCACTATACACATGAAAAAAGTGCTATACTCTGACATTGTGCTCATTTTTATTTATGCAATAAAGGGCGTACTTTATACTCACTATACTCGGACATTGTGCTCATTTTTATTTATGTACATCAGAAGCTACAGAACATCGTCTTTCAAAACATGACCTACTCGAAAGAGAGAAAAAGAATGAATGCGTACCCAGCACTTGTGAAAATGCCCTTTCGAGTACGTCTCTGTCCCCAGCACATTTCAAATTGACGCCCATTTATCGCAGAAAAGCTTCTCTCAGAGTTAGATGACACAATCGACCGAGTGAGCGATAACTGTTTATAGAGATTGGGGTTGGTAGTTTTTTTACAGCTTTTTTAAGAAAATGCGATTACCCGTTTCAGCCACCGGGGGGGCAACGCTCCCCCTGCCCCCCCGCAAACTCCGCGCCAATATTCTCTTTCACTTCCTCTTTTTTTTCAGATGTAACCTTAGTTCCCTGAAGAGGACGTCATCCACCAGGAAACTATAAAGCACATCCAAACCAAACACATATGTGTAGGTGCGTTCGGAGTTTTGCAAAAATGTAGAAAGAGGCACGCTTTTCCAATGATGGAAAAAAAATGTAGCCTACACTCTGTTGCTGATATCGTCCCTACTGAAAATAAGATTCATTACCTGAGTGTTATCTGATGCTCCAGCCCAAACTTTAGTGTCATTACCCGAACAATAGAATGATCTAGGGAGCCAGCTTGTATAAGGGGAGCGACCGCAGACCCCCCTGATGTTAGAGACCAACGATGTGTTGTCGGATCGAACAAGCACATGATGGCCTTTCAGGTCAGGTTTCAGGGCCTTAAACACGGCCAGCATTTTTTGCACGAAAACTTTGTACGGACTAACCTCTAAAAGCTGGAAGAGTGGATCCCTTGAATTTATTATTGTTGGATAAAGTCATAATAAAAGAATAAACGGTGGAAACTGCTAATGGCCTTCTAGTACAATGGAAAATTTTACAATGATGGTCAGCAAGACTATGCCCTCCCTTCCCTAAATAACATCAGGAAGCCTTTAAAGGTCAGTTACATGCCTGAGTGGATGCTGATAGTAGGCCTTACTTAGTTTTTATGTGTTGTAGTTTCACTTTCCACCATTTATTTATTTATTTTGCAATATTGAGAACTTTCTTAAAGGAGTAGTTCACTTTAAAAAAAAATTCATATGCTCATAATTTACTCACCCCCATGTCATCCAAGATCCATATCATCAAAATGACACGAAAAAAGATTTATTAATTTTGATGAACGCGTTCGAACAGGAGAGTCACGAATGCTCATCGCAGAACAGAGCAAGGTGAGCATTTCAGCTTATCAAACTTAAACTTTGTTTTTTTATTTTATTTTTTTTTAATGAGCGATCGTTTCGCTTGATAAGACCCTTATTCATCATCTGGTGTAGTTTAAAGCCCTTTGAACGGTTTGTATTTTGCACTGAAACTGTCTTTTGGACTTTGAACTGTTTGGTTCCCATTGAAGTCCATTATATGGAGAAAAATCCTGGAATGTTTTCATCAAAAACCTTCATTTCTTTTCGACTGAAGAAAGAATGACATGGACATCTTGAATGACGTGGGGGTGAGTAAATTATCAGCAAAAGTTTTTTTTTTTTTAAAGTGAACTTCTCCTTTAAAGGCCAAAAAATTGGAAGTGAAACACACACATGACTTATGTGCAATATTAGCTTGTTGCAAGAACACATGGTCCTAAAATGACCTTTTGTGGTAATGTAATGTTCTTTTGTCATCAGACAGACCAGTTATAAGGTGTGATTTCAGACACATGATTAATTTAGCATTTAGCATTGATTTGCAGGCAGAATCTTCTTCTGAATAAATGGTGCTCTGATTTAAAAACAGTTTTTCTTCATAGCTTAACCCAAACAAGTTATAATAGAGTCAGAGTAGAACATCATAATCACTTATGGAGTTTGTTCAGATATGAAGGTCACTGCCGACTGTGCTTGAAGACCCCTGCCTTTCATTTGGCCATAAAAGCCTTTTTAAAGCTTTAATAATAGGCTATATATAATAGGCCATGTATACTGTAGATGCATGAAGCCTTAACTGAAAAAAAAAATCTATTTCCATCTCCATGTTTAATGATTACATTGCTATTTAGTTTTATTGGCTATAAATTAAATAGCATAATGTCATGAAACTGGATGTACTAAAAGACATAATAATAAAAATGACTTAATGATATTGTTTGTCAGTTATTTGGCATCAGGCTATGTATTTCTCAAAGTAAAATAGCTCATGTTGACCACTAGCTGGCAGAAAAGATCAGTTTAAACCAGAGACAAGTTTAAACCAAAAGGAGAGTACTGGGATCAGTCAAATACAGGAATATTATTATGTAACTCTGCAACTAAATTTTAATACTATTATCATTCAATTGTGGTGTAAATGTTAATTGCACATTTTACATTTACAAAGTATACATTGTTATATTCTATGTTTTTAGGATTTTTTTTTTATTGTGTTAGCCATTTATACAAAGTCATAAATAATCCTGGGTTTACTGACCCTCTTCATTGCACATTTTCCTCTGAATTTATATAACGAAGAAAATTCGCTAAACAAATATTAAATATTACATTCTACCAAAAATACAAGGCTATGAAACTAACTTTCAGTTAAATGTCTAAGGTTGCTTGCTTGTTTAAGCCGATTCAAATTGCACTGGCATTGTAGCAAAATTGAGAAAGTGAGTGTCATATTGGCTTACACATACAGTATGTCTGTTACACGTTACATGTAGTTACACTCTAAAAAATGCTGGGTTGTTTTAACCCAACTTTGGGTCAAATATGGACTAACCCAGCCATTGGGTTAAATTTTTACATTACATTTTTAACCCAACATTTCGGGTTTGTCCATATTTGACCCAAAATTGGGTTAAAACAACCCAGCATTTTTTAGAGTGTACTATAGTAATTATGGTTTGTTTAAAACAACTCAGCATTTTTAGAGTGTATATAATAACTATAGTGACTACTATAGTAAAAACAATGCATAATTACATGCAACTAAACCAAACTTAACCTTATAGTATGGTATTACCTATTACTCCGTTCTTAAATACTTTATCACTACAGTGTAACAAAGACACCTTAAAACAAAATAAAGTGTAACCAAAACAGGAAATGTTCTCAGAAAATTAAGAACCAATAGTCTATTTCTGTCTTTTTAACCCACAGCACACTTGCCATTGTTTCTAGTGAGAGAAGCGTCATGAATAGCCTGTGCTCAAGCAGCCATGTGAAGAGGGAGGAGCTCGTCAAACAAAATCTGACTATAAAAGCTTCTTCTCTCACTCCTTGCTCAGCTGTTGAAGTGTGTGAGACGTCCGTATTTTTTCGTGGAGATACTGAGTTATTTGGACTTATGAAACTGACTGTTTATGTGCGCAGTAGCGGATCAAGCGCATTTTACGCAGTGCTCATAGCGCCCGCTTGTTGATAAAGTGCCCTTATTGATGTGTTTTTTCTCGGGTCACTCCATCAGGAGTGTGCGATACACCTGCGGTCCGGTCGAGCAGCGCGTTTGAACGCACATGGATTACAGTCACCTGATGGCGCCTCCGGTGCCCCCACACAAACCAAGATCCCCCCGGCCCGCGCACTGCCAGGGGCGGCTGTTGAAGTGCGTGTTTCTCGGGGACGGAGCTGTGGGGAAAACCAGCCTGATTGTCAGCTACACAACCAATGGATATCCAACAAAATACGTCCCGACAGCGTTTGACGATTTCTCAGGTGAGTCTTTGAATGCGCAATTGGGCCATTGCGATTTTTAGTGACGTTAGGCTATGTGGATCAATGAAGTCAGCTCTCCTGAAGTTCTCCTGAAGTTCAGACAGGTGTTTTAGCTTAGTAATCACAAATGCATTCATCACATTTACTGTGAATGAACATGGTTCATGTGACTTGAAAATAAAAATGAATTTTTAACTTAATTTTGTATATTATGTTGCTGTCGAATCGATTAATCGCATCTAACAAAAGTTTTTCATCGATTTATATATATATATATATATATACTTGTATACATTGTATACATAACATATATAACGTTAATACAATATACACACATATACAGTATAATCAAAAACTTTTATTTTAGACGCGATTAATCGATTTGACAGCACTACTCACAACACGCTTTTTGTAGTTTTGTGAAACGTTTTACTCGACAAGTAAATTGTATGATTAAATTAAATTATATAGTTTATTTAATATTTAGATTCCCCCCCCCCACACCATCCCTCCATATGGGTCAACAACAGCCTGGTTAAAAAGTAAAATATTAATAAAAAAACGACAAAACAATGAATGAATTGAGACTTTTTTAGGATTGTTTAAAACTGATTCTATCCACAGTCTGAAAATTAATGATAACGTAAAAATCATCTGAGCATATGTGTGATGTTGAACGCTTATAATATGGAAACAAGAAATATATGACCATTTGAACATCAAATTCAAGGACGTTGCTGACTCATTTTATTATTTTTAATAAATATCTTACGGTGTTGACAAAGTAGAGAGGGGGGGGGGGGGTCTTAAATTTCAGCAAAGCTTGGAAATTAATGCAATGCTTTCAAGACTGTGTTTTATTTTTTTTAAAAATGTCAGTCAAAGAGTAGGCTACTTTACATATGTTTTATAATTTTTCTATTGACCTGAAACAACAGCATGTCACTGTTCAGTACCCACAAGCATGTCTTTGTTATTATAAAGCTCTTGCGCAATAGTAATGACCGGAAAATCTGGCCCCTAAAATCCATGGGGTCCGGTCCACTAGTTTCAATCTCTGAGCAGATATTGTGTTGCTGCTCCAGTGGTGATGTCACCCTCAAACTCCAGAAGCCAGATCAGAAATCTGTGCACTGATTTGAGAACAGTTACGCAATTCAACAGGTGGTGCTCTGAGTCTGAGGGGGAACAGGCTGAATTAAAGGCAGATCATATGACGGGGATTTGGAGACAATTACACAATGGGTGCTTGAAGCAGAACACTTTGAAGTGACAAATCATCACCGGGACCCTCAGTGTTACTGTGTTTTATGAGATCACTTTACTGTGACATGATGGAATAAACATTATTATAGATTTGAACAGCATGTCCTGTCCTACAAACAAGTAAAGTTGACAAGTGAAATGATCAGTGCTTTATGAGCTGCAGGAACCCAAATTATATCTGGGCTGTTGATCTATGCCATGTTCATGAGGGTGAATAATAATAAATAACAATAATTACAATTTATTATTAATATTATAAGAGACCTTGTAATATTACGATTTTTTACAGACTTACATTTGAAAATATCAAGATAATTTTTTTACAGACCAAATGAAAATAATAATAATTATTATTTTTTTATAGAGCCTCTGTTATGTTAAGAATATTTTATTACGAATTTGAAAATATTAATAAGATTACATGTTTAATAACATTAAATAGACTTTGTTAAATTAGCAAATTAATTGATAATTAATTGATTAATTGCTTTATATTATAGAGTTGAATAAAGGGATTTTATAAAGAGTTTATATATATATATATATATATATATATGCACAAATAAAAATATATATAAATTTCAAAATATTTTGAATATGAATGTTTTTATTTGTGCGTGTGCACATATAATATATTTATCAGTGTATCCTAGCTCTGTAATGAAATTAAAATAACACATTCAATTGTAATTGAAGTCCATAAAGTCAATTGACGTTTTTGTTTGCAGTGTCGGATGAGTCAGGTGCGTGTGTGTCGGTAGTAAAATGACTGATTTTTTCCCCTTTTTTCCTCCAGCGGTCGTACAGGTGGATGGTCAACCAGTGAGACTGCAGCTTTGTGACACTGCTGGACAGGTAAGACCCAGTATGTCCCAGTCTCACAGCACGACTGTCCGATGCTCATTACATCATGATGCTTTCCATTCATTTCGAAGCCAACCCAAAGACAAAAATCAACTAACTTGATTTTTTTGTTTGCGGTAGATTTCTCTCACTCTCTGAAAGCAGGATTTAGAAATTGGATGAGAAAGCAATTGCGCAACAAAATCTTAGCAATTAGAAAAGATCGGGAGGGTTGCCATACTGTGAGGAAATCATAAAGGGAGTGAAAAAAACAATCCTCAAGCTATCGGCACGTTAGTTATTGGATCTCCCTCTCTCTTTCTGAGCCACACAGGCTTGGATGGGGCACCATGTGTGTTTTAGATGCCAAACTTTTTTTCAGTGTTGATTGTTGTGTAACTACCTTCACATATCACTAATTTGAAAAGGCCGCTGGCTCTACGTTCATTCTGATTTCCACATTGGAACATTAGATTGCTTTGTTGAAAGGTTTTGAACCTCGGAAACTGACACTCCTTTGTCATGCATTACATGGGTTAACAAATAAATGACTCTGCCCTCTTAGTACACAATATATAAATCCCTTTTCAGAACCATGCAGAGGCAAGCTGAGGCAAACACGAGAAGATCAGAATTCACTTCTCCAGTTATAGAACGGCTGCCTTTCAGATAGTTTTTAAAGAGAAAGAACAAATGCACTTTGCTCAAAGTCCAGAAACAAAGGCTAGTATCACAAAAGTCTATTGCTCAGTCTGTTTAGATGTACTTCCATTATGTTGTACAGCAGGTGTCCACGTCAACAAAAGAAAACGGTGAGGGACTGTAATTGTAGGGCTTGGTGATATGACAGTATATACTGTACAAAATGACATTAGAGATTCATCTGTGTATATCTCTGTACTGTACATCTTTTTTTAAATCTATAAACCCAACACCAAGAATAAATTATCATTAGTGTTATTATTATACTGTTTCCACACTGTAAAAAAAAAATCATGATTTGTTATCATAACGTTTTTTCTTCTGTCAAATCAACTTATGTGGTTCAAATAACATAATATTTTGAGTTTCTAAATGATTAAATCAATCTCCTTCATTGTATTAACTCAATTTTTCAATTTCAATGAACTTAAAGTTTTCAGGCAACCAGGTTACTTCATTTTTTAAAGTTAAATCAACAATTTTTTACAGTGCAGCTAGTAGAGAAATCTACTGCAAAGGCTATTTACAGTTATTTATAGATTACTATAATTACAGTAAATTTTACAGTACCAAGCTGTACAACAGTAAATTGATTACTATAAATAGGGCATTTTTTTAATTAATTAATTCAATTGAATTTAATTCAACAATATTTTGAATATGAAAATTGTGTGTGTGTGTGTGTGTGTGTACACAACACACGCATGCATAATATATTTTAGATCACTTTCATATAAAGTTCTTTCAATGTATAAGGAAAAGTGTGTATCTTAGCTCTGTAATTAAATTAAAATCACGCCTAAAATTGTAACTTACTGTAAGTCCATAAAGTCTATTGAAGTTGTTTGTTAAATGGAAACAGGTGTGTGTGTGTGTATTTCATCTAAATCTTTCGATTTCGTAAACAAAAACTAGATGCAGCAAAGGCATTGAAAAGGTTTGGCACTCATATCTGTCAAGCTTAATTGCTGTTCTCAATGATTTTCGAGGCCCTTCTCTCCAAATGCTCTACAGATTTATACTTTCAATTTATTTGTACTGCATAAACAGGACAGGGTGTGCCAGAGTTTGAAAACTTTGGCCAAGTTTTAAAGATTAAAGCGTGCACTGCGTGTTCCACATCCAATGTTCTTTGCGAGCGCCAACCTATAATTTCACTTAATTGCTTCAGGGAATTATAAAACACCCCGAGAGCTAGTTAAAGGACTTTTATTATTTGAAATAACAATTTGGAATCCCGCAAATGATTTTTGAGAAGGTTTTTCGAGGCCTTGTGTTACTAAACATCAGTAATGATACACTGTTATATAAAGTGATAGGCTTTCTGTCTGTCTGGGCAGGGCATTTACCTTTCTCTTTCTCTCCACCACAGGACGAATTCGACAAGTTGCGTCACTTCTGCTACACGCGGACTGACGTACTCCTGTTGTGCTTCAGCGTCGTCAGCCCCGCTTCCTTCCAGAACATTGGTGAAAAATGGGTCCCGGAGATCCGACGGCGTTGTCCTCTCACACCTGTGCTGCTGGTTGGCACCCAGTGTGACCTGAGGCAAGATGTCAAGGTCCTCATCGATCTGGCACGGCGCCGAGAGCGACCTGTCCTGGAAGAGGACGCCCGCGCCCTGGCGGACAAAGTAGGAGCGGTGGCCTACGTCGAATGCTCCTCGCTCACACAGAAAAACCTGAAGGACGTGTTTGACGCCGCCATCTCCGTGGGGCTGCGAAACTCCGACAGAAGAGCCAGACGAGAACGGAAGGTCCACAGCACTGCTGATAAAATGAAAATGCTCTCAAAGTCGTGGTGGAAGAAATATATCTGCATACAGTAGCAAAGGTCAAGCCAATCTTCTGAGGCATGAACAATGTGATAGACTCTGGTTTAGCTTCACGCTCCTCAAGTGGATGATGTTCAGTTGGTAACAGATCAACCAAGAACAGTGTTGCTGCTGTAAGGACGATGAACGGCGACAAAAAGTTGTTCGACAGCTAGAGCACGAAGGAAGTTCTGTATGCAGGGCCGTCAATAAGGTCGTGTGTCCACCAAAGCTTTTTTAGCCAACTGAAAACGCTAGACGCTCTGCTGAAGACGCCGTGCTTTGGGCGCTTGAGAGCGTTTTGGCAGCGCAGCGTTTTTTCCGTTGAGACGTTTCGTTGCTATGATACAGAATATCCGCAGCACAGTTTGAATGTTGTGACAGTTGGTCAGTGTGGTTTAGTCCCGCCCCTCCTCCACTGTGATTGGACGGCTGGGTAAAACGTGACAGTGATGAGCGCTGCGTTTTATCCAAAGTTGAACATTTTTCAACTCCCAGTGACCAGGCGCTTCAGCGTGAAAAAAACGCTCAGCGCCTCGGTACGCTCATGGCGTTTAAAAAACATGGCGCTCCCATTGAAAACAATTCAAAACATACGCCAGGCGCTTGGAAAAACGCTTTGGTGGACACACGGCCTAAACATCACGGGGGCCCAGGATAAAGACTACTCCGGGGCCAATGTGTAGGTGTAGAAGACCTTATTAGCCATGTTTCTTTCCACATACTTCTATGCAAGATTTGGGGTATCGCATTAAAAACGCTGGATGGAAAGGCCAAAAATGTATGCGCTCAATTAAGATGGATACTTTTTTTTACTCGGTAAGAAACACATTTACACCGAATGAGCAGACTGAAGCAGTGCTGAAGTTAATGAGATAATTAAGTGAATAATTGAGTGATGATTGAGCATTATTGAAGACACCTAACAAGCAGAACCACTGAAGGTGAAAACCATGAATCATTTTTAAGTCACCATTATGATGATCAGTGTTTGTTTTAGTTGGGCTTTTGACCCTTACATTACATTAACTTTTTTATTTTGATTGGCTGCTGTACATGAGTTACAACCATAGATATCTATATAAAGGCTAGATATGTCGTCCACGCTGCTGGCCAATCGAGGTCGACATCTGCACCTGGCGGCCATCTTGTCACAGGCAGCTCGCTCACTCGTAACATTTGTGTTAATGGTGCATGTACTATTTAAATGACCATAACTTGCTCAATTTTCTACCGATTTTCATACGGTTTGTTTTGTTATAAACATCAGAGATGTAGTTATGACACTGCATACTTATGAATAAAAAGTGTATAAATAAATAATCACGTTAATACCGTTTGTAAGAAACCAAACCGTTTGTAAATCCGTCAAGATTTCAACGAGATAAGAGTATTTGTGTTTGTGCTGACCACTCATCTTACATCAGCTTGTCTGTGACAAGATGGCCGCCGGTGATGACGATGGAAACTCCGCTGTAACACATCTAGCCTTTATATACATATCTATGGTTAGAACAGCCAGATGAACAAATAGAAAAGGTGAAACCATCAGGTGTCTTCAATAATACTCAATTAATCACTTAATTGTCTCTTTAGCTTCAGTGTTCAGTTAACACTCTGCTCAGAGTTTATATAATTCACACTTTCAAAGTTGTCCAATCTCATTGCACACCATCTCGAATATTGTTTTTGTCTTTCTGAAATGCCTGAGCCAAAGCTTGTCATCAAAATTATCTCTCACATGATTGCATTCCCAAACATCAGGCGTTCGAACGCAAGATAACATGACAGCGTTCGTAATTGCAGTTAATCTGCGCACTCTGATGTGAAAATAATTTGTTATGTAAGAAAAATGAGTCACAGGCTTCCTCGGTTCCTGACACTTTTCATCTTTTTATTACTGATACTTTGCGCCAGTTTTACAGCAAGTGACGATTTTGTTGTCTCTTGAACACATGGAATGGAAGCGGTGTTTTATTGGCAAATATTTCAGTTTCAATTTATAGTTTAATACACAACTTTGAATGGAAACATGGCAGCGTGGAGCTCTACTGACACAAATCTGCTTTTAATATACGTCTGAAGGCTTGAGGGCACATTGCTTAAGATAAATTAAAGCTTATTACACGCATACTGATGGTGTGTCACAGTTCTTAGTCATGCTTTGGTGACAACAACCCTCAATGTATGAACAAATGGCTCAACTGGATAGTGAAGAACACTGTTGACCTTTTCCACAGCCAAAACTGTTTGATTATGGTTTTAAAAATCATCTACTGCTTTTGTTTTTGTAACCAAATACAGTGCCACAGTTTCTATTTATTCACCCGTCTTCTATGTGATAAATGCATATCCGAACGTTGTGTGACCACATGTTAATGATACTAGCATGCTAACACTGGTGATCAAGCTCATTTTTGTTTGTTTAACCTCCATGTCTGAGGTCACAAAGAGAGTTTTATGGCAGTCTTGTGGCCCCTCGGCCATTTACGCTCAATCTAAATGGTCCTTATATCCCATCAGTCTGTAACTGAGCCTACCTGTAACTGTAGGCCTCGTTTTCGTCTAAAACTAAGTGTAACTCCAACTCTTCTGTCCTTGTTGACACAACTGCCATTGCAATGTGAAAGGGATGTGTATTTGTGTACTGTTAATCACAGGAATATGGACCTATCATGCATAACACATTACCTTTGTATGCCATACAATGCATTGCACTTGTGATCACCTATTGCAGTCTTTCCATTTGACTTGATCTATGCTGTCGTGCCATGTTGTAAAAAGTCTAGTACAAAGTCCTTTGGCTATGTGTCCTCCTGATCAGCCAATGATATGTTGAATTTGCTTCTCATTATTCAGAAGCCCAGTCGTTCATTGATCCACCACAAACGACAGAGCACAACAGTGGGGTTCAGGTCAGGAAGTAAAATCAAGCAACAAGTTTGTAGTGTGTAGTTTATTCCATCAATTTCGTTACATTTTAATAATTTACTTTTGAAATGGTTGGATTCGTTGCTTTTATTAAACTCCAATTGAGAAAATGAGTCGGGAAAACACTTCCAGAATCAAAGCCGCCTACAAAGTGGTCGGTCTCTGTTGCGCTCCTTACAGCCACACAACAGAAAGTGACCTCTGTTTTTATGTACTTTATTGTCAACGCAATAACATTATCAGGGTAATCTAAGATCTGTACATTTTATGATTGCATTTAAATCTCTTACTCTATGATTCAGTGTGTATCTGTGTGTTTCGGTTGCTGACTGCTATCCATGATTTTCATGGAAAATAAATGTGACATAAACTGAAACTTGAATGAGTTTTTCATGTGTGCCTGTCGTCACCTGACCTGCAACAGTGTATTGAAATAAATACTGGGTCATGTTGACTTTAGCATGCAATAGCCTACCTCAGTGATAGCTTTGTTAGCAAACACTATTTGGAGTAAGTGCATGTATGTCACAGAGAGACAATTAGAAATCATTTGAGATCTAGTTTTTGTCCAAACGTCTTTAAAGAGCTAGAGCTAAGTTGTTACGTTCATTATTATTTTAAAAGTTATGTGCTTTGAGACTATGAAGTCATTTCATTTGACGCATTGTCTTGTGTTGCTTAGCCTTAGCTAAAAACACTGCTGTGTGCGTTCATTTGGTTTGAGGAAAGTGTGCTTTTTGGAGACTGAATGGGGGGTGGGATCTTGTGCTTTTTAGCAAGAACATTTTAGTGATTAGCAAGTTAGCTCCCTGCCAACTGTCACGCATTTGGAGTGAGAATTTCATGCTCTGTCTCACGAATCATGCTAACATCCTGCAGAAACATGAAAATCCTGCAGGATTCCTATAGGGTATTTTTGTAAGGTTACAGCTGTCAGTCACCTAAAACGAATGATTCAGTTTAGAACCCTCTGTCTTTATGCTAATGCTAATGATTGCAGCTAAGGCTAGTTCCATTACTACTGTTACTATTAAAATTACTAAGTTATTTTTAATTTCAAAGTTAGTATCTTTAGTTTTTGCTGTTGGTTTAAATGGTATTCAGAACAGAACTATTTGCCCTGAAGATGTAGTTTTTTTTTATAACTTTGCCAGTGCAGGTCACAGGGTCACGGGCGAATAAAATGCTAAAAGAGTAGGCTACTTGCACAGATGCATTTCTGATTATAATTATGTGTGCAACGGTCTCACTGTAACCCATCATTAAGAGGCTTCGTTTTGTCTCAAAGAAAAGCCAACTGCACAGACAGTCTCAGTGAATACAGTCTGTGTGCCTAGCTTAGCATACGTAGCATTTCACTCAAGAATAAACAACAGTTACTCTCAAACCATAATGTGCACTTTTACAATACATAACAGCCAGTTTGAAATGGTAGTGCTCAGATGGTCTTGTTGAAAGAAGATCCACAAGAGAAGAAGATGGCAGATTTTCAATAAACGTCCCTTAAGGATTGTCTTAAGAAATACACAATCAGTGTGGTCAGAAAGAAATATTTCATAATCATGACAGTGTAAAAAATGGACATGATGTGGTTAAAATCATCGACGACTTTTGCAAGACCCCTAAAATGAACAATAGCAGACCTTAAAACGTCATGTGACCTTGGTGTGACCAATACTTAGTCAATCATCTTTGGGTTTTAAACCCCTTCTGATCTAATTTATGTGAAGCTTTAGGTAAATGAATGCCTGAACCTTGACATCCCGACTTTGGTAATGAGACGACTTGACGTCACAGTTGGGTTCTGTAACTGTGGTCACAAGGACAGTAATATGATCCCAGAGATGACAGGAGTTTAACAGCACATTGGCACAAGTCCTTTCTGCCTGTCGATGTGATTTATTCTTTAAGACGTGTGGAACTTTACAAAATGTGTGTGTGACGTAATGTTTCGGGGGCCCCTTTAGCAGGAAGGCTGATAGGATTAAAACCCATGGCAGTGTGGTCTCATTTGGAGCACTAGTTACTGACACAAATCTGCTTTTAATGTACGTCTGAAGGCTTGAGGGCACATTGCTTAAGATAAATTAAAGCTTATTACACACATACTGATGGTTTCTAAATACCACAGTGTTGTTTTCTGAAGGTCATATTATTTCCTGCTATAATTAGTGGGTTTTGCTTAGGCAAACATCATTATTAGAATCAGTAAT